CCCCCCCCCCCCCGCCACAACCCACGCGCGGTGAGTGCCCGAGGCTTTCTCCCCTTCCGGCCGGGCGAGGCACCCCTCCGGGCCGCCAGGGCGGGGCAGTGGCCGGGCGGGGGGAGGAGGACGGGGGGGGGAGATTAAAAAAGGGGGGGTCGCCTTGAGAGGGGGGGGTCTCGGGAACTACCGGAGTGAGGAGAGGGGGGGGGGTTGAAGAGGCTGACCCCGTTTTCCCCGCCTCCCCATGCCGATCCCCCCCCTCCGCCCAGCAACAGTCCCCCCCCAACTGAACCCCTTTCCCTTTCCCCACCCGATTTATCCCCCCCCCCATTCCAGAATAATTCCAGGATTTTGCAAAAATTAAAAAAGGGGGGAGGCTGCTCTCCATTCTCCCCCCACCCCCCGTTGCAAACTCAGCGCTTTGCAATCCCAGCTTTGCAAAAAAAATTTAATCAATCTGGTTTTTTCCTCCATGCCCCCTTGCAAACCCCCCTCCCGGGGCCAAGTCTCTTTCTCTCTCTCTTTTTTTTTTTTTTTAAAAAAAAACCCCCTTTCCTTTATTTTTTTCAGGGCCTTCTCCCCCCCCCCCCCCCCCCCACCCTCCGCGCGTGCCAACCAGCCTCGCATTCCCATCTTGACTTATTATTCCGGGAAGGAAAAGAAGAAAAAAACAACAAACCTTCCCTCCCCCCACCCTCCTTACAGCTGATATTTTCTTTTCTTTTTTATACTGCATTTCCAGAGCCTCCACTTTTCCCAACCAGCCTCTGGTTCTGCTCCACCCCCCTCTCTCTTTTTGGGGGGTGGGGGGGTGGTTAGGGGTCAGAAGGGAAGAGAGGCTTGGAAAGATGAAAGAAGGGGGGGGTTGGGTTTGCTGTTAATCCTTTAAGGGTGGAAAGGGGAGATTTTGAGGGAGGAGGTGTAGAACAGGGTCTCCTGCTTGGGCAGGGGGGGGGGGGTTGGACTAGATGACCTACAAGGTCCCTTCCAACTCCTGCATTTGCAGGAACGGAGGGGATGGGTTGGGGAGGGGGCTTCCGTGGGTGGTGGAAGCGTAACCACAGCTTAGGTCAGGCAGCAAAGTTGGGTTGGGACCCAGGTGTAGAAATAGGACCTGCAAGAAAAGGTGGAGAGGGGTTTAGGCAAAAGGGGTGTGTTTGTGTGCGCGCGCGCGCGTGTGTGTGATAGGGGGTTTGTGGCATGCAAAGATGCACACGAAAAGGGAAATGTGGGTTTCAAAAAAGCCGGGCTTGCAAAGTTTGAGTCGAGTTCGGTGGAGGGAACCCGTCATGCCTGTCTGCCCCCTGGATTGTGACTTATGCTCGAAACATCTGGAAAAGCGAGGCCAAAGGTATATAAGAAACTTCCAAGGTGCCTGTGGAAAGGTGCTTCCAACAGACCGAACTGTTTTGTTCCTACGCATTTTTATTTCATTTTATTTTGCTTCCACCTGCTTTGTGGATGTGGGTTTCTTTTTAAGGGGCTGGAAGTTCCCTTTGGGGTGGGGGGAGAGGGGAGGAGAAAGATTCCTAGGAATGTCATCCTTCCCGCCCTCCCCCCTTTCCCAGCAGAGCAGAGGTGATGGGTCCCACTGATACTCCCTTTTTTTAAAGGGTTTGACTCTAGGTGGCTATCTTTTCCCATCGATGATAGCTGTGGCGGCTAATTATTTTGAAAAGAGGGGAAAGGGGGTGGAGGAACGGGGGTGGGATACTTTCCCCTTTCGCTCTTCTCCACCCCTTTTCCCCTTCGGTGCTGTCTATCTGAATGCCACGTCGCCTTCGCCCGGCCTTTTGACGGAGCAGCGCATAGCAGCTTAGCAGATACTCCGTACCTCCCATAGCGTTTCTCCTGAGACAAAGGTAGGGGCCGTTAACCAGCGGCTGCTTCCCGTCGGGCTTTCATTTGCATCCCTTCTGGATCCCTTCTTTTAGGGGGGGAAAGGAAGAGGCGGAGGGGGGGGGGCGTTTTGTAACCGATGTCCAAGCTCCTGCTTAATTGGCGAAGATTTTAGTAGGTGCCAAGCCAGGTTTCAGTCCTGTCTTTTGCAGCTGTGATCACAGGCTGGGGGGTGGGGGGGTGGGTAGGGGGAGGAGGAGTAATTCAGATGATGTGGAAACCTCTGTTTTGGGATCAAGAAGACCACCTTCCCCCACCCTTTGCAAGATCCTTTCCTCAACATATGGCAAATAGTGTGTGTTATTATAATCTTGCCAACTGGCGGCCAGTGACGCAAATACTGGCAGGTGTACTTCAGTTCATTTTATGTTTCCTGTTTGTACTCCTTTCCAGCTTTTTTAGTCATCAGTGTAAATGGAATATATTTCATATTTTTAATCTGTTTTTTGTTAAACCACTGTTTGCTTTTTAGATTAATTATGGAAAAGCATGTCTATTTTGAACAGGGAAACCTGGGTCCGATTTTCACGCATTTATGCTGATTAAATATATTGTCATGGATAGGGACGGGAAACTGTAATTTAAAACTTAAAATGGTAACAGATTTGACAAGTCTTTTAGCTAGCGCTGAAGTTTGATTCTTAAAACGATTATTGGTGGCTTCTATAATTTGGTGTTTTAAGACCAGTTGCACTTGCTACAGCAGCCATTATGCAATGGTATGCGTGACTTTTTTTTTTTTTTTGAAATGTCAAATTTGCCAGTCTGGAAAGATTTGTGATTCTGGCATAATCAGTTTTCAGTTGAGAAATTACATCTTGGCCATAATCGCCTTGAAAAGAGTGTACTTTATGCTGGTCCTTTCTCAGCCATTTCGGTAACAGGCTCTGACTTATATGTGAGTTGTAATAACAAGTGAAATAATGGATGTAACTTTTTGTTATTTACGAAATGTGCTGTAAGCAGCTTTATTTTGTAAAGGCGGAGCCCAGGACAATATCTGAAGCTTTGTAAAACTCCAAAGTAGCTTATGCAGTTGTATGGCCCAAGTTCACTCACTTGTCAAAAATAAGAACAGAAAAAGAAAATGAAAGAATTAGTAGCCAATATTTTGATTTTACTCTTCTGAGGGTATTTTGAAAGGTGTAACAACTGTTAGAAATAAATAGAAGTAGAAGAATATGGTACTTTTTGAAAACTTGGAAAAATAAAATTGCCTTATGCTAAAATAATGTTAAGGATAGTTACCTACTCTGGTTAAGTTGATGATCACCAAATAAACATTTCTTGCTTGCTTGCTACTTGAAGTATCACTGTAGTTCTCACCCCCGCCCCCCAAATCCGGTTTGTGATGTTTATTTTTTTAAAATTAATATTGTTTTAATTTTCTACAAGCTTTCAATTGAAACAGGCCTTTATATATCTTGTTTTCCCTTTCACCTCCATTCTTGTATGGCCCAAAAGTTATATTTTAATTTGCGAAGGTTGAGATAGTGGATTTTTCAGCTCTTATCTCTCTTGCAGAGCAGAAGTTTTGGATTCCTGAATAAAAAACAAAACAAAACAGATTGAGCTCTATCTCATCCTCTAGAAAGACTCATTGTGTAGAGATATAATATATTCTCTCTCTCTCTCGCTCTCTCTTTTATATTAACCTAAGCTTTCTTGTCTATATTTCCTGGTGATCCAGTAACTTGGAAAAGCAAACAAAACCCAGCAGCATTGGAGCTTCCAGGATTCACAAATTTGCACAAATATTGCACACACATGATCACCCAGATTTGGGCCTTTCACCTGCATCTGAACAAACATTTACTTTGGCACGGAAACTGAAAAGCCTTAAAAGAGCCACGTGTATTGATTAAGCAGAATTGATTAGGAATGCTAAGGAGTGTGCGTCTTCCTCTTTCCCCTCCATTAGCAGCCATGGAATGACCAGAGAAAGTTATGCTGTGTTGTAGTATGGGTAATAGGTACCGTGTTTCTCACAAAATAAGGCTGGGCCTTATTTTTTTTTTGAGCCCCGAAAAAACGGCTAGGCTGTCTTTTCGGGGGGTGACTTAATTCCCCCCCCCCTTGCATCCTCATCTAGAGCGCCCCGCGGGTAGCCTCGCCACCAGCCACTCCTAACGGGTGATCATGGCGAAGCGCAGAGACTGCCAAGCACCTTTGTGGCAGACCCAAGACTTGCTTTCCCTTCTGCCCATTCCGCCACGTTTGGAGCTGCCGCTTCCGTGTTTGGAGTGCCGCCGCCATTTGGAACACCGCCGCCACGTTTGGAGCTGCCGCTTCCATGTTTGGAGTGCCGCTGCCATTTGGAGTGCTGCCACCATTTGGAACACCGCCGTCAAGTTTGGAGCTGCCACTTCCGCGTTTTGAGCTGCCGCCGTGTTTGGAGTGGCGGCAGCGCTCCAAATGGCGGTGGTGCTCCAAACGCGGAAGCGGCAGCTCCAAACATGGAAGCGGCAGCTTCAAACAGCAGTGGTGCTCCAAACGCGGAAGTGGCAGCTCCAAACGCGGCGGCGGCATGGGAAGAAGGGAAATCAACAGCAGCGGGTGCTGAAGGTCTTGGGTCTGCCACAAAGGTGCTTGGCAGGAGTAGGGAACTCTCCGCACTCTGCCATGATCGCCCATTAGGAACAGCTGGTGGCGAGGAATTGCTGCCCGTGGGGTGCTCCTAACGGCAAGTCCCCCCCACCCTCATTTTGCATGTTTTAAAATAGGTCTAAATTTGGGGGGAGGGGCTTAATTTGATTTTATGCCAATAAAACATGCTGGGCCTTCCTATTGGTGGAGGCCGTATTGTTGGAGAAACACGGTAGTCCTCGACTTACAACAGTTCAGTGCCCTGGAATTATGTGACCACCTTTTGCGACCTTCTGACAAGCAAAAATCAATGGAGAGAAACCAGATTCACTAAACAGTTGTGTTGCTAACTTCACAACTGCAGTGATTCACTTAACCGTGGCCTGAAAAGTGGTAAAATGGGGCAAAGCTCACTTAAGAAACGTTCTCACTTATGGTAGCAACATAAATTTTCGGCTCAATTGTGGTGTTAAGTCGAGGACTTACCTGTGTTGTACAAACCTACTGCCAGTGAATCTTCCTATGGGTTTTTCTGATGAATGAAAGCCACCCTGACTATTAACTGCAGCCCACTGGATCACTGCCAAACTGCATATAACGATCCTGCAAGTGGCCTTTCCGGGATTAGGACTCACCTGAAGCCCTTTTTAATTTGGGGTTATGCAAAGTGTAATAATTTACTGATACTGTCTATCTAGGTGACTTTGGGCCAGTCATTCTCTCTCACTCGGTGACATCAGGCTAGTTGGTTAATTCCTGTTGCAACCAACCAGTGCTTGGTTGATCAAAAAAAAAAGAAGAAGTGGAAACATTTGTGGGAAAAATTCTAGGAACAAAAGTGGGATAGCATATGTGACCTCACACTCCCCTGAACCATAAGTAGAGTATCAGTGTTTTGTATAAATCTGATGTGGGATGTAATTTGTTTAATATTTAGGGATAGCATAATCAATTTTTCATCCTGTACTGTATTAGATGAATCAATCCGTCCTGAAGATAATAAGGTTTTACCTGAATGTGAAAATGCAGAATAATTTAGTTCTAGAGTTTGATGCTAGATCATTTTCCTCCTAAAGGAATAATTGAATCAAATTAAGAACTTGGCCTCTTTGTTTTCATTGTTAGTGAAATTTTCTTTATACTTTATACATCTATGTTTTATTGCTACAAGAACAGCTGTATTGGGATTATTGATTGGCTTGTATATTTGAATGCCATTAACCACACACACACACACACACACAAACACACACAATCCTCTTGGTTTTAATAGATTGTGCTATAGGCTTCCCATGATTCCTTGAATCTCCCAGAGTTGGGAAATTGTGGCTGATAGGAGTCAGATTCTTAATAAATATGCTGCTCAAAGAATATGTGGTATGGCAGCCTGTGTGGCAGTTAGTTCCAATTACACTATTACCTTGGAATAAAATATCTGTAATGAAGCTGGATTAGTGTGCTCATTAAGATAGACTTAATTATCTGAGCGATCAAAACTATCGTATGACTCGAGCGATCATTCCATTTAACAAGTATGTAACTTATCGCCACGATCGTCTGCATATAATGTCAGAAATGAACTTGAAGCCTGAAGGACATCTAGCCACACAATCTGCACAGTGTAGGATGGCCTCAAGGAAGCATTCCTCCCCAGTTTCCCCAACGTTATTTTAGCTTTTGTAATAAGGTTCTTGCGTACATTTCATGGAACACATAACATGAAAGCAAGAATTTTTATTTTTCCTTTTCAGTACTTGGATGGGATAGTGGGTACGGAGGGAATATGTTGATCCAGATATTTTCGCTAAGATTAATTTCAGAGTGAAACATATAATTCTCTTTCCTTGAACTTGAATATTCGAGATACTCAGCCTTCAGGCCCATCTTGGGAATTGGGGACTTAATCCAAATTCATACCAGGTCTCATTTCCCAAAGTGAAATTTGAAATTTGAGCATTGGAAGTGTAGATGCAAAGGCCACTACAGAGAAGAAATCCAGTTCTAAATTGCGGATATTTGGAATCCTTGGTTTTCTTCCCTTAATGTGCTTCAGAACAGTTCAACCTAAATGAAGCACTTTGAATTCAATTTGATATCAAATGGCAATTTTCAAAGCCTTGTTTAAATCTGACGTGTTTTGATGCAAAATAATAGAAAACCTGTCAACAGCTTTTTTTTCCTTTTCAGTACTTGAGAGGAGAAGGATAGTGGACACGAAGAAAATGTGTTGACCAACAGAGCAGGATGGAGGATGAGATTGGGAAGATTGGCAGAAAGCATACATATAAAATTATGAAGCACTGAGTGAAAGCACAGCTTGCTGAGAGAACTTGCATGGCTTCTACAGAGGTAGATCCTGCCTCATAAACCTTTTCAGGTTC